ACTAACTCATTTTATCTTTTATCGGAATTAGTAGCCTTATGGCAATTGAGAAACTTTTCAGTTTCATTATAGAATGATTTCAAAGAAAACAACATCAAACTTATCAATCCTTGTAAAAAAGAATCATGTCTTTACGTAAGAGAGTCAGGCAAAATAAAGCATAGATATTATTGAAGCTCAGTTGTCGTACATTAATAGATGAAAAATTGTGAAAAAGTTCCTCCTTTGTTCGTACATTGAGCGTCTATGAACCGTGGCCAAGTAAAATAAGAGTTGTTACTGTTACAAACTCTAAGGGTTCTATAAATTTTACAATGTGTCTTGTAGAACTGTAGTAATGATCTTTTCTGCAAAACAACTAGATGTGTGGATGTGGGTGTGCATAGGACTGTAAGTGAGAAAAAGATCATCATTCACACACCCGTATCCATATCCACCCCAATATTTACGTATCAAGTAAGATTTAAATCGAGCAATTTATGCAAGAAAGCTAAATTCATGAGCATCAATGCTATTTCGATGGTCATACGACTTTTGGAATATGTTTTCTAGGTGACAATGAAGAAATCGAAATAAAAGCTATATGTCTTCAATCAAAGTTCTATCAAATAATATATAAATTAATGAAGAATCTACACGTCAATTTTCGATTTCTAGCACCGTATAATGAGAGCCTTTTCGAGGCCTTGGGAAACCTTAAATTCTAATTTTAGTGTATTTTCGGAATTAGTAATATGTAGAACAGAAATTGGTGCAATACAACGTTGCATTTTTCTTTCTACAAGCTGCATCTACAAAACTCAAAACCAAACTAAGTTTCGAAGGATTTAGCTTTGTTCTTAAATATTGCTTTTGTTCTAACATTCACTTAACTAGTAAGGCATAAGTTGTCCTAAATGGAACAACAATATAGACTGAAGATGTAGGGTCATTAAAAAATGACTACAAACGGTCGAGTCAGGGGGTTGTAGTTCAGTAACAATAGAACCTAATGCAATATTCGTCTGGCCCAGTTGACTCTCGTTTAGACGCGAATTGTTTTCATCGTCCAACAAAAACAAAATCAAAATTTCTGTTGTTCAATGAATTATTGTAAACTTGTGCTTGATTTGCATTGGCTTCGACAAGAAGGAGAAGACCAAGAAAGATAAAGCCTTTCATCATGAGCAAAACAATGCTTTCTTGTATTTCTCAACAATAATGAAAACTTAATTAATAACACAAACATATTCATGTAAATGATCAGCGTCATGAAAGTAATCAGTGAGCAATTTTCGATTTATTCATCTCAGCGAAGAAACTATACACCGCACTTATTGCAAATAATAAAAGAGCAATTACGAAAGCAAATGATAATACCCATCAGACTTCGAAATGAGTGCACTGAATTGAGCCTAGGAATCCAACTGGTATATTATTGCGCTCATAATCAATTTAATTGATAATTGTTTTCCTGCAAAACATATTTAACTCACATCGAAAGCAGACTAGCTACCACACAGAATTTTTAAATCGTTTCGAACAAGGTAAGACCTTCTGTGTTCAATCGATGACTTCCGATTCATTGCCAATTATTAGAAAGAACATAATTGATAAGTAAGTATTAGAATATGAACGTTGATGTGAATACTTAGGTAGATGTTGGTGTCCAGATGACAAAAATACCCATATTCCACTTTTTTGTACTCGGTAGATGGATAATACTTCAGACTAAAATTTGGTCGCAAAAATTGAAAAATAAAAGGAAAGTTAAATTGTAAGCCGTGACAGGAGATGTGAATGACCTTGATAAATAATTCATAAATTTTCTAAAAACTATTCCATGAAAGTAATGAATTCAAGTTTAACAATGTAAACAAATCAATTATTATTGGTATGTGTTGTGTTAATCTTGACGAATTAGTAGCTATTATGTTCAACTAACGCTTCATTTTCTCTATCTATCCCTATAAAACGAGTAAAATTATACACGCAATGTTATAATAGATACGATTATTATTTCGAATCATTATCTTTCATGATAGTGCCAATCATACTGATACATTATTGTCGCAGATAATAGAATCATATTAAGAACAATAGATTATCTTTTAATTGAACACAATTTATTTAAAAAAATATGACAGTCATTTTTACAAATAAATTCAGTTTGATGGATGATACTTTTGCATTTGATTAATTAAATCCTTGTAGATAATTTTATTTGCTGTTATAGCCCATACGAAATCAAGATGATTATAATCTAAGATATATTTCTCATAAACTAAATTTTCAATATTATCAAAAATAAAAGCAACATCATCCGGATCAGCAAGCCAATCTTCACGTGACCAAAATATTGCTGTTGGAATCTTCATTGGACGAATTGCATATATCGGTGGAGTTGTTTGATTGTAATGTAATTGATTCTTTTCTGGTGAACCATAATCATATGCTTGAAATTGTTTAGAAAGAAACAATTGTGCAAAATGAATCATATTCTTTACAGATGTTCCATCAGGTTCATGAGATACATAAACTTCCATTCGTGTATTATTCATATTTTTTTTATCTGGACCACATATAACAAACAGAATATTTTCACAAATTAATGGGTCAAATATAACACTGCCACATGCATATTTTGCAAGCCATTTGATCATATTTGATGATGGAAGAAATTCTTTATAACCAAATAATAAATGCCAAATATATTCAGGATCTTCTGGAATATTAAATAAATATCTTAATGGTGATTTTGTATGTGATAGATGAGCAACAGGTGCTAGAGCTGCATAGAAACTAACATTATTTTGAACAAGACTATCAGGACGACCAAATTCTGCAAATGCAATCATTGTACCCTGTGAATGACCAACATAACCAATTTGTGTATATTTTGTTACATTCAGTATATAATTAATCATTGATGGAAGATCATCTCTTGCCATATCATCCCAACTAAAGTCCCAAAATTCTATATCACGATCAGGATTGTATTTAACATGTGCACGTGAATAATAATTTCCACGAACATTACCAAGCCAAACATCATAACCAGCATCAGCAAGCATAAAACCAAGGCTTTGATCTGGAAAATTCATTACCCATGTTACTGCTGCATCGAGAAGACCATGTTGAAGAAGAACAGGTCGTCCTTTTGCTGATGATTTTCGACCGTATGGAATACGAAAAACACCAAGAATATAGCCATCATTTGTAATTACTTTATGTTCTTCACATGGATAACCTTTACTTTGAATCAATTGTGTAATATTATAATCACAATCTGGATCATGTTTTTGTACTTGTAATTGTAGTACGGAATAACATAAGGAAATGAGGAGAAGAAAATTTGAAATGTCTAGAATATTAAAGAAATAATACTCTGTAAACGAAAATTTGCCACTACTTACAGAATAACATTTTCTTACAATTTCTTGTATTCTTTGCTATCACTCAAAACAAAAGAAACAGATAATAATAATGTTTTAGCTTGTACTGTCTTGTCTTTTATGTCAATATATATGATGTAATAGAAAAGATAAAAATAGTTAACAAATGTCTTACAGTAAACAGATATTAATTTGTGTCAAGTGATGTAGTCAACAGGATTGTTATACCTTGAACAATCTAGGATACAATTCCACTATTGATATCAACTGAATATTATACTCAATCGATGTTATATTAGAGAATTAAAGTATCATGAGTATATATATGGCAAGCTCTTTTGTGCAGCAAGATCTGAAAGAATTTTTAAAGCAGAAGGGTACAATTTTAGACCTCTGTGCTCCACAGAGTATAACTATGCGAACGTCAAAGACTGTACATGAATAACGTCTCGTTATAATATATGAAGTATTTCTTTGTTGCATTTCTGGAGGATTCAGTAAAATGATGATAAATGTGTATCGGCATAGATAGAATAAAACAATCTCTCAGTGATTAACAACAAGAACAATAACGTGTTTCGTATTTTAGTCCTGTAAGAATTGTGTAAACAACTGTTATTTTTTCAGATAATGCATGGAATTGATCAATATGCTCAACAGTTTAGTCCAACAGACCTTTTATTTATATACATATGCATCATACTTTTATAAAAAAAAATTAGATCTTTTTGAAAAAATAAAAACAAAATCAAACATAGTTAGTTAGGTGGATGATATTGTTGCATTACATTGAGTAGATCAGAATAAATAATTTTATTTGCTGATATAGCCCAAACAAAATCCAAATGATTATAATCTGTAACACATTTTTCATAGACAAGACTTCGTAAGTTATCAAAAATATATACAATATCAATTGCATCGGCAAGCCAATCATCAAGTGACCAAAATATGGCCGTTGGGATTTTCAATCCATGAATATTATATTCAGGTGGTGTTGTTTGATTATAATGTAATTGATTTTTTTGAGGTGAACCATAATCATATGCTCGAAATACATTTGATTGAACACCTTGTGCATAATGAATCATATTTTTTACAGATGTTCCATCGGGTGCATGTGATACATACACTGGAATTCGTGTATTATTCATATTTTTCTTTTCTGGTCCACATAAAACAAATAAAACATTTTCACATATTAATCGATCAAGTATAACATCTCCGCATGCAAATGTTCCAAGCCATTTTATTATATAAGATGAAGGAAGAAATTCATTACGACCAAATAACAAATGCCAATAAAGTTCTAATTCTTTTGATGTCAATGATAAATATTTTATTGGAGACTTTATATGTCCTAAATGTGCAACTGGTGCTAATGCACCATAGAAACTAATATTATTTTGAACAAGACTATCAGGACGACCAAATTCTGTAAAGGCAATTAATGTTCCTTGTGAATGACCAATATAACCAATTTGTGTATATTTTGTTACATTCAGTATATAATTAATCATTGATGGAAGATCATCTTTTGCCATTTCATCCCAACTAAAATCCCAAAATTCTTCATCATGATCAGGATTGTATTTAACATGTGCACGTGAATAATAATTTCCACGCATATTACCAAGCCAAACATCATAACCAGCATCAGCAAGAATATAGCCAAGACTTTGATCTGGAAAATTCATTACCCATGTTGTAGCTGAATCAAGAAGACCATGTTGAAGAAGAACAGGTCGACCTGTTGTTGATGATGATGAGTTTCGACCGTGTGGAATACGAAATATACCAAGAATATAACCATCATTTGTAATTACTTTATGTTCTTCACATGGATAACCTTTACTTTGAATCAATTGTGTAATATTATAATCACAATCTGGATCATATTTCTGTACTTGTGATATAGTCACCGAATAAAATACTGCGTATATGACTAGAAGAATCGCAACGGCTAAAATATCAGAGAGAAAAAATTATTATATGTAAAATATAAAACTTGTCTATAAAAAGTACACATACGCAGCATCATCTCATCGAAAGTTCTTTCTTCTTGTTACCTCGATACACAACACATACAGATAGGAGATTGTTCAATCTATATTTTCACTTACCTCTTATGCAATAAATTTAGAGTTAGTGTCTTCAATGAAAGTCTAAAACAAAATGTATTCGTAAACATTGCTTAGACGAGTAATATTCATGTTTACCTTTTCTTGTCGTTAGTAAAGTCTATCAAAATGTACTAAAACAAAGCTTTTCACAGTCTAAAGAACAACAAACAAAAAAATTTATATTCTTATTTTTTTTTTTAATGGAAAACATGAACTGATGTTTGGCAAATTAAGAAAGGGGTAAATGTTCTTATTGTGTGATGCAGTTAGAAGAAAATAAGCACCTCAGATAGAATCGTTACATCGTTTTAGGGAATCAACCCATTATTTTATCCAGTATTGAAGTCCTGCTCCACCAAAGATCGATTTGGTCCCTCCAAAGTTTGTGGTTCTGGTAACATATCCCATCTGTTTAGATTCTCAACAATACGTACTCGCCCTTCTGGAAGAGAAAATCTAATTGAAACACAGACAAGAGCAACTTAGTTTTTTTTGTTTTGTTCAAACTCAATCGGTTTCAATTCAGTACGAAACCAAGCCAATATCATCTCTGTTAAACATTAGTTTATATAATAAACATTAGCTTAAATTTGATATTACATACAACTTTTAAGGAGCTAAAATCATAATATAAATTTCTTTAACAAAATGTCCTTAGTAACCTCTGACTTTTTCTCTTTCACAACCTGTAAAACAATATATATTTCATATATAATCAATATTCTATGCATAATCACTCTAGTTAATACATCTGTTATTAGAAAAATTGCAAATACCAATTATATTTTTATTAAAATATCTCATATGCATTCAATTCGATGAATTAATTGACAAATAAAACTTGAATCAATCAACCTCTCCATCAAAATAGATGTCATTAGAATGACATTGTTATTTATTGGTGCATTTATAAAAATGAAATATCGATCGATTGATTCCTACAAGAAAAAAGACGAATCTAGATGGAGCTTTCTTTCTCTGTCAATGATAACATTACTAGCAGTCAATGATAAACCAATAAGAAAAATCAATTACAATGCAATAGATATCCGTAATAAATATATTCAATAAACAAAAAAACATATTTTTTATTTTTCTTATTGTATTTTATTTTTAGATGGATCAATATATTGAATCTCCTAAATTGGCAACATATTTACATCCAGGTCCTAGTGGACCATTCCTTGAATTAAACAATGAACCAATAAAACCACCGTCACCAAGTACATCAGCTTTATTACAACATAATCCAAGTTTAATTGATCTATGTACATTTAATTCATTATGTCAAAGACTTGTTGAAAATTCTTCAACATCAAATACATCACCATATAAACCATTTGTTAATCCGTCCGATTTATATTTTTGTATTCCACCAATGACACAAATTGATTATTCACCTCCAACAAATGATACAAATACAAAATCAAATATAATATCTGATTCAACAGCATCTCCAATTAGTTCAGCTGGTGATTGTAGTCCTAATGTATCATCGTATACTTCAACACCATATTCAAGTCCAAAAGTTAAAAATGTTTTTCAACAAAATTCTCCACTTGATTTATGTGTTACAAAAGATTTTGCAACAACAACAGTAGAAACAATTAAACATCGACATAGTAGTGAAAATATATCAAATTATGAATTATCAGGTACAGAAAAAATTATTTTTGTTTTATTTATTTTTATCTTATTTGATTAAAGATTTTCTTAATAAAATTGAAAAATCTTCAACAGATAATACAAATAGTCAATGTGATAATAAAAATGTACAACAAACTGTAACTAAACATTCTCATACATCACCTATTCTTCATCGTTTACTTACATCTCCAACAAAACTAAATGAAAATTCGTCAGTATCAAATCAAAATGATTATGTTAATAATGTTAATAATAAAAGTCCACAATATCAACCAAGATATTCTCCTTTTTATGTACCGGACACAAAAACAAACATAAAAATTACACCAAGAGATTATTTAAACAGGTAAATTAATCATTTTAGTTATTTTTTTTTCCGGACTTAACAAAAAAATTTAACACTCAAAAATAAGTAAAAAATCCGCAGAAAATTGATTAGTTTAATTCATTTAAATGGCGCTAAAACTACAATTATTAACGTATATAAATATAAGAGTGAACTGTATTGTAAAAGAATATGCATTTTTAATTTTTCTAACTTAAAACTATTCCAGAGTTGGCTTCCATCAAAAGAAAAGACATGAATGTATATAAAAAGAATATTGAATTATAATATATTAAAATTTGAAAGCTTAACTGTTCTTAATCGAAAACTTTATTTGTTTGGTAGTTCTTTTAGTTCAAAATCATAAAAAAGTTCCAAGGACACAATATGTAGCACATTATAATTTCTAAATATATCTAACATTTAACGTTTGATTAACATCTCTAATTATTTACTTTTAACAAGTTGCAGTATTTATACTCTAGGCACAATAACTTTATTGAAACTTGTTAAATAAAAATATTTTTCTTTTTATCTTAATAGAAATCGCAAAACTTCTCGCCAATCATGTCGCTCACCTGTATTTACTCGACGTCCACCTGAACAAAATCAAACAATAATCGAAAGTGATAGCAATAGTCAAAAACCTCAATATGATTCATTAATTCAACCAACGGCTTTACTTTCATTAGACACAAATGGTATTTTCAATGTCAATGAAACTCATACAACTAATTCATTATCATCATCAACTATAATAAATAATAATAACAAACGTCTTTTAGAATCATCTTCATCAGAACAAATTTTAGTTAAACGTCGACAGAAAAGATCAATACCAAGTAGGTTCATACTAGTCAATAGATAGACATAAGTTTTGATATTATTTCTAATAAGCAAGAGTTATATATTTAAGTATATGGACAAATATTCCATTTTTTTTATATTACAAATTATACGAGTTTTTTAATGCACGTAAAAATTCATTTTATTATAGTTTTACATTTTTTCTCAAGTTGAAACTAATCAAATCATTTTTTTGTTCGAAAAAAAACAAACATTGGATAAAAAAGAATGTCTATACGATATTTGATTATGATTGCCAAGATCTACCAAGCGACGAGGAATAGTGATGGATTAGTATTGTTCACAGAAAATAAATAAGAATTACGTTATGGATTTACTCATAATGTTGAAAATGTTGGACAGTTTCCAGTTTATCTAACTCGAGTTTTCGGTACACATGTTACAAAAAGTCATTGACCTAAAATTTATAGAAAATTTAATATTTTCTAAGTTTGTTTCATTATGCAAATGTGATCGAAAGCAGTGAAGATATTTTAACGCTTAAATAAATCTATTAATCTGATGGGACGAGAAACAAATAGTTTGAACCTAGCGAAGCCTCGTGATTTCGCCACCTATGTCCCTATCTGCTACAATTAGTCAAAACTTCACATTTCAAACATTATTTTTTTTGTCGACAGTCAAAATAATTAATGCATAACTTTAAATTAATATGTCCAATCAAAGTATTTCGTAGACAAAAATTTTAGAAGAAATCATGGCCTATTTTCTCTTCAAGTAAATTCGATTGTCCTCAATACTTCTATGTTTATGGAAATTATTTATCTCTATTTCATTTAATAAGAAATATTTTTTTTTTGACTTTTTTATAGCAATTACTATTCAACAAAATTATTGTATAACATATCCAAATAATATTTCACGTTGTATTGATTGTCAAACAGCTAATCCAAATGATGCTTCAATGCATCTTACTGGTTGTCGTTTTCAACATTGTCGAACGTAAGAATTAAAAAGTGTTTTTTTTTCTGGACATGTTAACGTCAATGAAGTTCAAGAATCGTCTCTTAGATATGAGACTTACTATTTCAGTTAAACAGCTAATTCATCACATCAATTTGAAATAATCAAAATTAAGATTGGAGATTTTAGTCGCATAAAGATACATGTTTTTCTATCATTGCACGCAAGTCACAATTGTAAAATTGAATATTTTTCAAGAGAAATATATAATAAGACTTCGAACAGACTACCAAAAAAGAAAGTTGCAAGAGTCATCCTTTGAAGAGAAAAACATTTCATTTCAAAATTTAGTAATTGAGTGTTCTTTTATTTTCTTATTCCGTATAAATGTATGTAATTTTTCAACTGAGACAAGAAAAGCCTCTGTTCGTCGCTACTCGTTACTCATCAACGTCTATTGCATTGCATGTATACTAATTAAATAGAAATGAAAATTTTTTTTTTACATATCTATTCAGATTACAAGATTTCGGTGATGATACATATGAAGTTGAAGGATTTACTACATCTTTTGAAGCTAAAACACCAGAAACAGAATCATTATGTACACCAAATTCAAGTAAGATAAATTATTTACCTGAAAAAAGGAAACTTTCGTTTATTCAATTTTGAAATTTTCTTAGGTGGTCAACCGCCATTAAATTTCTTCGATGCTAACTTTGTATTTAAACAAATAGCTAAACTCTTTTGTTTAATGTTTAATCATGAACAAAGTGAACATTCAACATATGATGAAAGTAAATAAAAGATTTTTTTTCTTTTTTTATTCTTTGCGAGACTTACATATATATTTTCGAAGAAAACAGTGCGTATATTTTTTAATCGAGATTATGGTAGCTTTTATGTCTTTCTAGGCTCTAGCAACAAATGAGAGGGCAAAGGTCGTTTCGTAATGATTCAAAGCAACCGAGAACAACAGATTGATCTTGCAGATTTCCTTGGCAACAGTGAAATAGAATATACGAAAGCCTTTCTTGGACTTTTAACGACTGGGATATAGTTGTGAATGTTCGAAATAATCCAGCTTTTTTGTTTTTGTGCAAAGAAAAATTTGTATTTAAGATGTGAAGAATGATGGGTAGTAATGCATCTATTGGCGGTAGTCGTCATTTAATCGACATAGAAGACATGCACTGATCAACTTATAACTTTGAGCGAGCTTATCAATATATATAATAGTGTTTTGAGACTTTCTGCAAATATAATAGATATCTACAATAGGCAGGAATGTTTCGAGGTCACCATGATTGAGAAAAGTTGACTACTGGCAAGGAACATTTGCAATCGTCTAATTGCTTTTCCGTTGAGACTATTGTCATTGGAATGTAGATAATGAGAAGTTTTCTTTTGGTTTGGTTTTTTAGTCTTTGCTTGTTCATTTATGAGCATTTTACTTGATTTTTGTGCCTATAAGAGTAGAATTGCTGAGACCCTGGATAATCAAAGTTTGAGTCAGAACAAGTATATTTTTGCTAAGATATTTGTATCTAAAAAACCTTTGTTTTAGGCTGTATTTCAAAAGAAAGGCATTTCTATGATAAGCTAATATCTTGATATGAATATATTTGTCCAACCTGAAACCTTGAAGTATTTCTAGTGACTATAAGCCTCATGTATGATTGAAATTTTAGTTCAAAAATCGATTATCCAGATTTTCCTCAACTCTATGTACATAGAGCAGGAATCAAGTAAAATTCTCATAAGTAAACAAGCAACGACCGAAAAATCTAACCAAAACACATTTTTTTACTATCCATCATAACCAATCTAACGGGGATAGTCTCAAACGAAAAGCGATTCGACAATTGCGAACGTTCTATTATGAGAACGTACGGTTCACGACATTAGAAGTGTCGATCATTCTTGTGGGCGATTAGTTAGTACAAGCAACGAGCAAGTAACAGTAAGATAAATAAAAAATAAAGTATCAGTGAAAAAATTCCTGCACGAAGTGCGCAAATAACTTAGGGAGATCAATTATCTTTGGAAGACAACGATAGTCTGCTAGAAAATTTTCTCATGGCATAATATTACGAAGCTAAAGTTCCACATTTTATCCCTAAAGATGTTGTAATGACAATTTTTTTTATATTTATTTTTCAACATTTGTTTTATTTTTTAGAAAGTATCATACGTAAAAAATATATGGCAGGTTGGAGAGAAGTATGTGATGAATGTTTAACAACACTTTTTAATTATCATTATATGTGTAAACAATGTGGTTATATGATTTGTATTGAATGTTCAAAGCAATTTTTACTATTAACTATCGAAAAACGAAAAAGTAAAAAAAATGCCAGAAAAACTTTTTTTTTCTTGTATAACTGTTTTTTTATTTTCATATAGGATTAAAACGTTTTTGTCCACATAATGATTCATTTTGTTTATCAGAATTGATTCCATGGGATGGTAAGTTTCTTCGTGTTTTTTCTTTCTCCATTTAAACTATAAAAAAAAGAGATTCTTTTTCAGTTCTGGTTAAACTACGTAGTAATGTTATAGATTATTTAAGTAAATTAAAAATTGATTATTCAATTAAATTATATCATTCATCAAAAGCAGAAAATCTTTCAACATTTATTAAAAGCTTAAAAATGAAACGATCACATGATGCTCGTGATATACAAAAAATTTGGTCACCTATTGATTGTAATAATGATCCAAATATAGAATTTTATTGTAATGGTCGTTTACCTGTATTTAATGAATGGACCAGTGAGAATGCTAAACAAGTAATATGAGTTAAAACAAAAGAGAAAAATAATTTTTTAAGTTTTATTTTATAGTTTTTTCGAAAAGTTTGGTCAACTAGTTGTCCAGTACTTGTTAGACAAGTACATCATAAATTATCAAAAACACTTTGGCTACCTGATGCATTTAAAGAACATATGATTGATCATCGAGAAACACCAGCTTTATGGGATTGTGAAACATTAGCACCAATATTAACAAATGAAGAAATATTAACAAGATTTTGGGATGGATTTGAACGTTTAGCTGGTATGTTAAAGAATAAAAATTGAAAATAATTTTAATTTATGTATGAATAAATTAGTTCGTTTGAGAGATGATGATCATGGTGGAAGACCAAGAATTTTAAAATTAAAAGATTGGCCAACAAAAAAAGATTTTGCTTCTGTTTTTCCAGCACTTCTTCATGACCTTATGAGTAATATTCCATTTAGTAAGTCGAAAAACAACTTTTTTTTTCAAATATTCTATTAAATGTTAATTTTAGGTGAATATACAAAACGATCATATACATATGATAATGTTACATATCATGGTGGTTCCATGAATATTGTTGAACGATTGCCTTCATGTTTAGTTAGGCCTGATCTTGGACCAAAACTTTATATTGCTTACAGTAAGTTTATAGCTATGATTAATATTAAGAAGTTGAGGCACGGAAGAAAAGGTGAAACTTCGACAGTCCAAAGTTCGATGGAATACGAATGAAATACCATGCTTCGCAGTACTAAAATCTCCCTTTCCTCTCTTGAATAGAAAGCAAATATACACTTGCTGTCTTAGTATATTGGGAAAAATCATGAAACTAGATACATGTAATTTCCTACTTTTTTAAGAAAAATTATTAATAATGGATGTTGAAATGCATAGGCAAAAAAAGTCGGCATTCCTTTCTCCCCACGATGAATAATGTTTCGTGAACTACACCCTTATTGGATTTATGGAAGATTTAGTAAAACGTTAGTGAAGAAGTGTATTTCACAATAGATAGTGTAAAACAATAGTTCCTGCCATTAACGACAGCAGCTAGATCGTATTTTACATTTTAATTCTCATATATTGCATTGAAAACCTTCTCATAAGTATTGCATAATGCATGCAAATATGAAAACTTGATCTCCGATGTAAATTACGTAGAATAGATTTCGTTTTCTGCTATTATTTTGGAAATATATTGTGGAAAACAAATCTAATGTAAAAGATGAAAAAGTATAGTTTAATTTTATGTCTTCGATATTGATATTTATTGCCATTTGATAGGTCAACTTATCAGTCAAGCAACAAGAAAAGCCGGAACAACAAATCTTCATATTGATGTATCAGATGCTGTTAATGTTCTTGTCTATGTTGGTATCGGTGGTCATGGTGATAATGGATCAGATAAAGAAGAAGAAATTCGACGTAAATAAATAAAAAAGAAACAAAGAAAAACTTCGTTCCTTTTTTTTTGTAGAAGTCGAAGCTGAAATACTTGATTCAAATATTGATGAAGCTCAATTACAACGATTACGAAATGGAGAACGTCCGGGTGCTCTTTGGCATTTATTTCGCTCGGATGATGCAAAAAAAATTCGTGAATATGTTGGTCGAGTATGTTTTTTTATTTTTTTTTTGATATAATAAACTTGAATTTATACGTATCTCTTTCATTTTAGTCTCAACGTAAAACTGCTGGTTCTGATGCTATACATGATCAAACAGCTTATTTAGAAAAAGAAGATTTAGAAAAATTAAGAGATTGGAGTAAAGTTGAATCATATCCAGTTCTTCAATTTCTTGGTGATGCTGTTTTTATTCCAAGTGGTGCACCTCATCAAGTAATTATTAAAGATTTTTTTCTCTTTATAGAAAAATTAATTATATTTTTTAAGAATGATTATGGTAAAATATGAGATAATTTTATAGAAATATATTTCCTTTCAACAATCGAATAATTAATGTTTTATTCTAGGTGAAAAATCTACATTCATGTATAAAAATAGCTGAAGATTTTGTTTCACCGGAAAATCTTGATCGTTGTTTAATAACAACCAATGAATTTCGATCATTATCAAATACACATACAAATCATGCTGATATCTTGCAGGTAAATATTTCTCATTATATATAAATATTTATATTCTGTAAGCAATATTTGAATTCGACTAGAAATTAATTCATTCCTAAAAGTAGATCGGAATGAAAAAGCTTTTAACGCAATTCCTACAGTTATTTTGAGACATATTTCTTCACCATCCTTTCACTTGACCCTTCAATAAGAAAATAGTTCATATGTTATAATGAAACATTATTCATATATAGTCTGTAACTGTATATCGACAATCCTTATGTATCGTGTTTTTCAAAAAGAAAAAAAAAAAAGAAAAATATACAATTGTAGCGATCTTGTCGATTTTCAGTGTAAATACGGAGCGCAACAACTATCAGCATCCCAGTGAAAGAGTCATTCAAAAGATGACGTTTGTCAGAACGTTGCAAATGTACAGAGTGAGCCACAAATAGTACTACGATAAAAAAAAAATAAAACATTTCGACGTCGGTTCAATCAAATGAATTGATTTTTATGCTTAGTAGTAGAATTTTATTTAATTTTTTTTTATACAGATGAAGTCAGCAAATAATAGTATTATAAATACAACTATAGCATTCCATAGATAATATTCAGCTCTCAGCTAAAAGAAAAATAAGAAGAAATCAAAACGAACTTAATGAATGATAGTCAACAGGTTCAAAATGTCGAAGGTTCTAACATAGAATACCAATTTTCGACAGGAATTCAGTGCCTACAGAAAGGCTATAGTGCATTTTACTTATAAGATAAGCATTTCAGCATTTTAATTGACTACTAATTTTGAAAACTTGCTCTGTGTATATCAATATAGTGTATTTTGATTTCTGTATATTGTTGTAGATGGCAACTGAAAACGATTTGTGAAACGTCTCATACTTATTTTTCTACTTGACGATAGGCGAAATTTCCTTAGTAAGATCTAAAATAAAACTTTAAATAAATTTCTACCATTTACCTAGAATCAGCCCATCTGAGCGAATTGAATTAGAGATATTGCAATTTTTTATCCTAGTACTATTTATGACACAACGTGTGTGTCAGAGATCTACAAGTTACACTCGCGTCTTAACTAATATGTTTCTTCAGTGTTCTCTCAGAACGTTCCAAACCATGAGATGGCGTGGCACACATTCGGCCCAAGTTTACTCAACGTTGCATCAGCATGCACTAGAAGGTGAAGCTGATTCGCAGATCTCTACGTTGTATTTTTAAATATAGATGTGAACGGCATAATCTAATTCTAAAAGTGTCCGAATCGGATTTAACATTCGATCAAACTTGAAATCATAAAGACAAGAGTGTTATAAAACAATGTTCTTATTAAAAAGAGAGCATAGGAACTTTTTAAAAGTTTTGTTGGGCAAAACGAATATAGCTTATTAAAATTTTAATTGTTTTGATTATGTGCATTGATCTCTAGTCGATTTCTAATTTTGTTTAGAACATATATACAAATATTTATTAATTAATAATAAAATCATTTTGTTTTTAGGCTAAGAACATTCTATACTATACCATACGTGATGCATTAGATTCTCTGACTGAATCAAATCAAACTGACCCATCATTAGAGTCTTCCTCTTCAACTGTACATAATTAACTTTTTTGATTAATGATGGATAATATATATATATACGTATTTGTTTTTCTTCCATTTTTATTTATTGCATTTATGTGTGTTTGTTTGTTGGTTGTTTTTTTTTGTGAAGGAGTATCATAAGGTTAGACTAGAAATCGGAGTCACGTTCTTTGTTCTCAATATATATGTATGTGTTTATCTCACATCTTTCTTTGTCTATTTGTCATTTCTTTCTCTTGTTGTTCTTGTCACGTTCTTTGATTTTCTTTTTTTTGGTGCTAGATTAATTTTCATGCGTAGATTTTTCTTTTGTGTCTTTGTTGTTAGCTTTTGTTGTTGTTCATTTTGATTTTGATGTTGATGTATGTTAAAACAACAGATAACAATAGGTATGTTTTTTTTGCCTGTTTGTATAGCATATTATCAAAAGATTTCAATATATATGTATATGGAAAAATATTCAAGCAATTTATTATCGAATTAACGTAAGAAAAATTACAACTGAGAAAGCATGGCTTTGATAATAATAAGGTGTTTCTAAATTATTGATATTTTAAAATACAAGAATTTTACCTATTTAAAATGTGAAACGTCTTATTTAAATAAAAAGAAGTTGGCAAACTAAGAATTATGATTGACACAATCTCGTGTCTTGATTATAACCATGAAAAAATTTTATTGGTTAAGTTTATACAATGATTCAATATCGAGAAAAAGAAGTTCCATTGTAAAAAGTAATAGATAGTTCAAAAAATTATTTCCTATGGTATAAGACGTTACCGGTATAGAATAAAAAATTTTTGGAAATAAAAAATCATCACAAACATTTTTTGTACTAACGGAAAAATAGAATATTAAGCATACCTATCTCCAGAAGTGTCTACGTGGAAGAAGCTGGAATAGACTAAGCTTCTTCCTCCGGATTTTTACATTGTGTCTGCGAAAATCTCAGGCTAGAATTGAGCAACTGTCTGTCAAGTTTTAGTCATTTTCCGCCTCAAACTTTATGTCAAATGTTTAGCTTCTTTTACCTTTAAGAACTATCAAGAGTCCTACCCATCATTACCTCGCTTCATCAGGAATATTTGATTTGTTTCTTTCATTATTAGGACTGATGGCGAATAGTTTACAGGTATGTAAAGTAGAGTGAAATGTATGCATGTGTAGTTTTTTCATCACAATTTATAATTGGTACATTGATCAACTAGACATGCTTTAGTCAATATATAATAATCTTTAACGAACCAGTTCATGTACAACATGTCAGATATATTTGTAATCTCGATTGGACAAAAACAAAGCCTTTTCTGAATTTGAATTGAATTAGTCAGTCGAACGAGAATAATAAGTTTTATTATTTTTTTTTAATATTTTATTTGTCTCGATTATTAAACATAAATATTGATAAATAAAACATTTAACACAAATTCAACAACATCATTTGTTTCTTTCAATACTTTTATTTTCTTATTCATAACAAATGTTAATGTCGTCTTCGATGACGACGATGGCGACGATGAGAGGATCCACTAAAATACAGACTGGTCTTTGGCATTGAAAGTAAAGGTCCTACTGGACCTACTGTCACATAACCAAATTCAAGATAATAAGTTTGATTGAGTGGTGAAAAATCTGCAATTATTTCTTGTTCATAACGTCGTGAACTGAATCGAGAATCCATCTAAATTGATGCCTAACACCTTGAGTTGACTAATATAAAAAACCATTTATTAGTATGTTTTTATTTATTGCACATTTCTATTACATATCCAAGGAAATTTTAACTGACTAGTTGCGACGATGATAATTAAAAGCATATCGAGACACATTACTTTTTATCTATATATACTCATCAAAAAGTATATCAAGACTAAGGAAATTAGTTAACGTTAGAAAAACTGGCGACATGATTCAATGCTTTTACAGAAGATGTCTATAGTTGTTAGTGAATAATTAATAACTAACTGTGGTTCGTTTGACTACCAATATAAATGAACAAATGAATTTGTTTTCGGGTATTTCATACAGACTGAAGATATTTTTCTATGATAAAATAGTAAACTTTACGCGCCTTTTGTTTTAGATATTCTTATCCAATTTTGATAAACTCTCTTAGATGGCTCAACATAATCATCATTTAAAACGTTTACAACATTCAACAAATTCATTTGATGGTCATTCACCATTACCTGATGATGAAGCAATTAGAGAATCTATTCAAAATTTTTCTATTCCATCGAACAATCATATGAAATATTCTCGATCAGTATTGATTATTCAATTTTTGTTTTTATTATTTCTTAAAAATAATATTATATTTTAGTTTGAACCAGCTCCTCATCGAGCACGGCGTGGTGGTAGTATTGGAAGAGCATATAATCGTAGTATTTATTCATCAATGTCATTACCAAAACGAGCAATTAATTATGATTTAGCTGAAAGTTTTATGGATCATTCAACAAATCCATTATCATCAGATTTATATAAAATAAAATTTAAACATTCAGCAAAACAATGGCCTAATGGTCGTTTTATAAATTATAAAGAAAAGCTTGATAAAATAGATGGAAATATCATTACTGTAACATGTACACATAGTTTTCCTATTGTATCAAAAAGAAAAAAAATACCAGAAACAAAACAAAATGAACAAAATACAACAACTACACCATCATCAATAGTTGTAATGGATCGAATTGCTCAAGAACAAAAGAAAAAATTAGCTGATCAACAAACTAATCTTTATGCTAATTTATTTGGTGTTGGAAAAATTCCACGAGTAAATATAATGTTTTAACCATTTATTGACACAGTCGATGAAGAGAAAGAAATGAGCTTTTATAAATAGTAAATACTAGACGGAGGAAGAATTTGTTTACGAATCTTTTAACAATTCAAAAAAACTAATTTTTCTTCATGATTATCATTCTGAAGGCGCTCTCCATAGACGTACGAATCCGATGATGTTACAATAAATTTTGCTACAGCTGCAACTTACAAGTATCAAAACAGTTTGAAAAACAACAAGGAACAGTAGATTTGATAAACCTTAAAAGGCTAGTCAAGGTTGAGGATAATATGACCATTTAATAAAGTCCTACTATTGTTGGAAGTCCGAGAATGAGTTTTGTATATTATTATTGTCAAACAATCAATTTTAGTATCAGTCGGTGTATAAGAAATGTCGATAGAAAGTAAACCTAATAAAATAGGATCATCTTCATCTTTGCGTCTAAAAGAGATATAACGAAAAATTCATAGATTTAATTTTTCCATCAAGTAATTGATGTTCGAGAAAACTTGACCAACAAATAAAATGTACAATTTCAAGAAACTGATTACAGATTCAGATTTCTCGACTCCGAAAGCTTTCGATCAAACTATATGAAGATCTTGAAAGTCCTTCAGTTGCTATTTCTTAACAAAAGAATCAAATCCACGAATTTTCTTTTATCTCGTTATCCAGTAAGTGACAATGGAAACTTCCTACGTCTAATTCTGATCACTAACCTGCAGTCATCGCAGAAAATGCTATTTTTCAAATATATTTATCTCAATATGTCCCTTATTAAAAAAAACTTCAGTGGCTTTGATAGTATTGTTCTTGACAGAGCTAAACCGGATAGACAAGTCATTACCGGTATATCTTGTTAACTTTTTGTCCTAATTATTTCATGAAGTATGTGTCATGAAACTTTGTCAAACGTAGACGACATCAAATATCATTATCTACAGATGGTATAGTACAGCAATTTTTTAATTCAGTGTCGGCATGAATTTCAAAACCGATTGGTCTGGTGCACGCAGACCTTTTTCATCTCTGGTTGTTGATATGATAAAATTTACTTAAATCCAAACGAGATCGCCCTATTTGTTCTTATTTCGACAGAATAAATAAATGAATCTTACAAGGATATGAATAATTTTACTTTTTTTTTTTTAAATAGTTGTCATCGACTGCTCAAATAAAAAAAACCAATGGTATTAGTGATTCAACAAAACCATCCGCTTCCATTTCATTACTCAGTGAAAATAAAGAAGATCAACGGTGTTAATGAAAACTTTTGTTTTTTTTTTGTTACTAAGTCATTCACTTTCGTTCAGTATATTAGCGTTGTTGATGTTTAGTCTAGTAGTCATTTATGTATATACGTCATAAACTTTTTACATTTTTTTCTTTTGTGTCTTTCATTAATTAAGTCGGCTGATTATAAGATTCTATTATGTATCGGTTGTGTAATTAGATATGAACGATTTTGTTTTTGTCGTTTTTTTTTGTTCGCACTCAAAATGTTAAAAAGCACATGTTGAGATATAAGACTAGTTTTGAAGAATGTTCCTTTTTTGTTTTTTTTTTCTTACGCAACGGAGGAGATGAAATAGCATACCAGTGCAAAAAGAAATAACCATCGATATACAGATATTTCCATAAATAAACGAAAAAAAAATTTATCTATTGATGATTTATTATCGTTTGTTATACATATAAACAATATGATTCAATTGGTTTTATACAATTAAATAGTGGTATTCATATATTCAAACTTATCCATAAAACGATCGTTTCAATAGTAACTTATGTTATAATTAAACTTTTACAAAAGATATAAGACAAATATAAATGTCATGCTTGTCACAATGAAATTCATCTAAGTTTTGAGTTAAGTTACCAGGATAGTTTTTTATCAACATTGTTTATGATATTATTTCTAAATTTAAGAAATATGTATCAAATCAAGTGCTAAAACGGCCAATATCTCATAAAGAACAAGTTTATCAACGATTGAAATCCCTTCACTTAACTTTCAGTGTTTGATGTAGATTTTTTTTAAATGTCTGAGCAGTGAAGTTAAACGATAGATATGATAAGGCGCGGCCACTCGGTTAACATATATGATGTGAGATGAGTGCAAAGCGATTGCCCTCCACGAATTTCTTCGGCGGCGCGGCCGTCTAAAAATCAGTTGCGTTTGCTGTTAAAGGATAGATCGTCCGAGCATAGGCGGTCATGCTATGCACGCGGACGAAGCACATTACTGATATACATTTCATTCGTAACAAAAAATGATATGAGACAACATAGTAAGATATTATTGTTTGAAATTTTAGCAGCTTTATTGCACAGACGAAGGAAATTTGTTAGAGATTAAGCAGTTCCTACATTTATTTATACAACCGAAGGTAGGAAAACGAAAACGAGTCAATGGAATCAACAACCAAATATTAACCGATTTTATTAAAGATATATGATACCCTTTAACTAATGCGCTTAATCATTATTTTACATGTTTAATATTAGATAAAACACAAACTCACACAGCATACTGAAATTTAAAGAAGAACTTCATAATGTAGAACCGAAGAATTTATATATTATAAGTGTTATCTAGGCTTACCCTAGCAGTAAAATCTATCAATCCGTTAGATGATGCATTAATTCATGACTAGAAAAAGATAATGAGATAGTATTCATTAGTTATTGAAAAAAAACAGTTTAGTTAAAACTATGAACAATGAATAGTTATTATACAAGAGAAGATAACATTAAAAACTATTACAACTATTATACTATTGCAGATAAACAATATATTTATAAAGATTGACTATTTCCATTGAATCATCGTTATTTCCGATAAATTTATAACAACAATATCACATTGTTATTTTCATGCCCTTTTTTTGTTGATCCATGAGTATAATTTTATATTTAAGAATTTTTTTACTACATGTAACATACAACGTGTTCTATATGAATACGTAATCATATTAAATTAAAGCTTTTTAATTTAAATACATGAATTGAAAATGAAAAGTGTTACGAGACTGCTGATGCACACAATAGTTTTACCAGATGACTGATTCAGTGATGTAAAGCTCGATGAGTAGCAAAAAGAAAAAGAATGCAGCTATGTAACATGAGTTTAAGAATAAATTGAACGGTAGACAATATCATTCGTGTATATCTTCAATTTTTCTATAGAGAAATAAAATTTGTGTCAAGTAAATTATGTGTTTTTTTTTGATTGAATTCTCAATAAATATTTGTTGAGTTTCACCGTACGAGATTCGCCACACGTTTTGTTTCAGTGTAACCTATTAAAATTTATTAAACTCACTAGGTGTAAATCGATAAAATGAGGTTCACTATTAGTTGACGAGTAAAAGTCAAACAATTTATAGAATGGTGTAGAAGAGATATGTAAACTCCTCCAATAATGGAAAATAATTCATTTGTACCCAATAAGACGAGTTAATTTGTTTTGAAACTTTACGCTACCTGTATGAGACATTTTCCTATATATCTTTTTGCTCAATCTTAGGACCTTTGCACGCAGCCTAAATAGGAATAATACCCAGAACATACTCTCATTATCTATTGTTGGTTTATTTGTAAGATAGACAAGGATATTCACGTTTGAATAATAAGAATATTTTAGTCTTTAAAGAATGCAGAATTTTAAAACTATTCCAATCACTTGACTTTTATGTTCGATCATGCATAAAGCATTGTAACAAAGTCAAAAGAACTGTATACTTCAGAAGAAAAAGTTCCCACCTCTTATTCTAATTCGTTCTATTTGACATTGAAATTAACACTGAAATTCTACAATAGATTCTTGAAAACAGAAGGAAATTTAACTGAAACAAGAAATTATTTATTATTTTGTTTGAACATAGTTAAAGATGTCGCCCTAGTTCAACAGCATTTAACAGACATGAAAATTAAATAGGATTTATTTAATTACAAAAAAATAAATAATAAATTAATTTTTATATTTATTATATTGCTGATTTAAACTTAAATTTCTTTTTCTACGGTAGTTTATTACATTGACGAGGCAATAAAATGATATGGCTGAATGGCGACCGTAAAGAGAAAGTAGGATCCAGTCAAAATGAAGTTCTTTGTATTGTTACCACTAACACTATTTTTTCCTTCCTTTCCTGATTTTTTTTCTCTCTCTCTCCATCTCTCTCTCTCTCTTTCGTATCCAAAGATCTCGTGCGTGTTAGGTATAAACGTCAATAAATGAGTCAAACTATAATAAACTACACATAAATTATACATATATTTATATTGGTCATGTTTTAGATTGTATCAATTGGACTTGTTAGTTCACATCATCATATTTTGACTATATTTACTGTTATCTGTACATTTGTCAATAGTGTTTTGTTTTTTTGATTTTTTATCATATTCTCCTTCAAAAATTATCAAACATCTGATTTCGTATATATCTATGTAGTATGTAAAACATAATTTTTTTTTCTCATTTAAATAAATCATTCTGTTTTCTTTTTTCTCCTTTAGAATATGTTCTATAATATCAAAATGACATTATGTTTTAATTATGAATTATTATCAATATTTAAATAATATACATGATGATGCCAACAGTAACCACTTTTCGCGATCCACTTGAAGCTCCACTTCGTAAATTAAGTGTTGATCTTATTAAAACATACAAACATATAAATGAAGTATGATTTTTTTTCTTTTTTTTTTTTCATTACTCAATCATATAGACATTCATATCATACGCATATATCAGAATTGAATATTTTATACAGTAGTTTTTCTTTTCGTTCTGCTTGATGATGCATAGTGCGTAAGAAAAAAGAGAGAGAATACACAACAATACCGATCATATCTCAATACGTACACGTTTCTTTTTCTATATTAACAATCATTGAATACATCATCATTCAGGTCACCTGCATGGACATTAAAAAAGACGAGATGCATCTATATAAGTATCGTACAAAAATTTGACGCCTATGAAATCGACTAAAGTATATATTTTATTCTTTGTGGTTTTCTTTTATATCGTTTAATTCATTAATATCAACCTTGGTGTTCGAGGTTTGTTATTGACTGTCATCATCGACACACTCTGTTTATTCGAACAACTAATGCTGTCTAGTTTTTCTTTTGCTTCTCTCTCTTATTTCGTATTTTATCTTTTGTTTGCAATATTAGTGCATTTTTGAGATAGAGGTAAAATAAGTAACATCATGCAATACGTACAAGTACCTTACAATGAATGGGTTATACCATATACTTATGACCCATTACATTGGAATGGTGTTTACCATCATTACAATCAACTTTCATCAAATGCGAGTAGTCTTACTGATGCTAGTTCTGCATACAGTAGTTCGAATAACTATCAATATAATACATTACCATCAGTTATAGATCAACTATCGCCTGATGCCTATCATCCTACTTATGAAGTAGTAATAGACAAATATTTTTGAATATGATTTGTTTGTTTTATTTAGGTATACTATGCTAAAAAGAAAAAACGTAGTAATAATCAAGTGATCGAAGAAAATGGTTTGCATAAGAAGGAGAAAAAGAATTTAAATGATGGATATGATGATGAAAATCATGATTATATCGTACGACCAGGAGAAATATGGCTTGAACGATATACAATTGATTGTTTAATTGGTAAAGGTAGTTTTGGACAGGTAAATAAATATTAAAACATCAAAGAGAAATACTTAAAATGAATAATAATCAATCGTTCAGCATTCAAAATCCTTTGAATTTATATTTAATTCTGAGAGAATTATATAAAAAACAATATCAATTGGCTAATAATGAAGTTCTTTCGAAAAATCTGGGATGTTCTATCAGAAAATGTATAAACAGAGAAAAATAACGCAGAACATTTCCTGCTTTTTCTGAAAACAACATATTTTTCAAGTAGATGATGACAGAAATCATCAAAGAGTTTTGACAAAGAAGAAGGTGCCAAATAAAAAATCATATCGTTTATGATAGATCAGACCTTGGACAATCTTGCTCAATGTCGTTTTTTATGATGAAAATTGACTTTCTTTTGTAGAGGACAGAGGGGAAGAGAAGGGAGGGGGCGGGAGGCAAGCTTCATTGATATCTAAATAAGACATTCCAACAAGGATGATAGTCTAGACTAAATAAATTATTGTATAACAGTCAAATTTATCATCATACTGACTTCACTGAAACTTTGTCTTAGTGTCTTCAGGATTATCACTGAACTATTCTAAATGAATCTACTCACATCAGATGGTTTTATATCAAATTGTGATAATTTTTGGGGAAGGCGAAAATTCGGTAAAATGCTTTCATCCTTGGACTTTTGGATGTAATGGTGACCGAAGGGCAAGGACGAAACCTATCGTGACCTAGACCTTACACTAGATGATCTGTCATCAGGCCATCCTGCCCCAATCTTATTCATCTTGCAACAGAATTGTTTGCTTATTTTTATTTCATCAGAGAAAGATTAATGCTATCCAAAGTTACCTTGAAGTTGTAAAAGATTGGCAAGAGGTGGGGCATTTTGGGGGATAAGTGAGTGTAGGTGTTTTTTTAAACTTCTGATAAAAACGAAGTTTTTTTTTAAATAAGTGATGAGATGGAGTTTCGTGTCTTTTAAACCTATTCAAGATTTTTCTTTTAGGTCGTCAAAGCATTTGATCATCTTGATGGCGAATATGTAGCTATAAAAATAATCAAAAATAAACGTCCATTTCTATCGCAAGCTCAAATTGAAGTACGTCTTCTTGAATTAATGAATCAACAGGATATGGATAATAATGGTTATATTGGTATGTTTTGTAACTTGTCTTTTTTATTTAAATTAAAGTGGAGACGAAAAGTTTCGAAAAATAATATTTTTTGATACTTTTTTCTTATCGATATAACAGTCAGGACAAATCAGAGAAAAAGTTTGAGCAATTGAAATAATATTCTATCTGATGAGGCGCTTCTCAAATTCCTATGAACAAGTTTTATGAAATGTTTCTGAAAAAGCAAGACTGTCAAGATTAGTTTATCGAATTTTAACAAAAAGTTCACCTAAGAGAGAAACCATTTCTGATATGTACTCATTCTACGAAAGGTATCGATATGTAAAACAAAGTAATGTCATAAAAACAATAGAAAACAGCATTTGCAACAGTGATAGAACCAGAGAGAGCTCAGTCTTGTCTATCAGAATTATGAAGTATGTACTTTTTCTCTCAAGACTCTCGTTGGGGTAGCTCCTTAGCGCGCTACCATCGATTTCAGACCTATCACACAATGATTGTCGTTCGCTAAAGATAAGTAATGGATACAGAATAGGGTTTTTCTATTAGATGAACTTTTCGATGAAATTCGGAAAACTGGTTTTGTGAGATCTTGGTTTTTCAGAGAACTTTAATTTCAATTTGTTAATGAGAATTCGACAAGAACATCTTCTGATAAGAACTTGTTTCAGCTATTCAAATATTTTCTCTGACATGTTCTGCTAGTTACCGTTAAGAAAAAAAAACCAAAATATTGTGTTTTAAAAATATTTGCCTCCACTTAATATTTATAGTTCTTTAATAAATTCTTTTGTTCTTTTTTTAAGTTACATTAAAACGACATTTTACATTTCGTAATCATTTATGTCTTGTATTTGAATTATTATCTTATAATTTATATGATCTATTACGAAATACAAATTTTCGCGGTGTATCACTTAATTTAACACGAAAATTTGCTTTACAACTTCTATCTGCATTATTATTTCTTTCTCAACCTGAACTTAGTATACTTCATTGCGGTATGTTATTTACAAAAAAAAGAAAATATTTTCTTTCTGAACTTCGAAATTTTAGATCTGAAACCTGAAAATATTCTTTTGGTTAATCCTAAACGATCTGCTATTAAAATTGTTGATTTTGGCAGTTCATGTCAAATTGGTCAGCGTGTATGTTCTCTTTAATAGAAAATAAAAATATTTATTTTTGAAATATATATATATATATATATATTTATATTTAGCTCTATCAATATATCCAAAGTCGATTTTATCGTTCACCAGAAGTGTTGCTTGGTATTCCATATGATATGGCGATTGATATGTGGAGTCTTGGTTGTATTCTTGTTGAAATGCATACAGGCGAACCATTATTTAGTGGTACAAATGAAGTATGTTGTTACAAAAATAGTTTTATACTAGAATATGAAATTCATTTTTGACTTTGATCTGTTATTGCACATCTTATCTATTACAAACAGATAAGTCTTTCATCATTTGTAGAATGAAAAAGAAGTGATTCTATGGTCTTATCTACTTTCTATTGAAGTATATAACAATTTATTTATCAAGAGATGATTTCAATATTGAAATACATAGAAGATTTATTACGAATTCAATTGAGATTTATATTTGACATTTTACTAATCTGAGTTAATATTTTGAAAAGAAGACCAAAGAGAAACGTTTTTGTGTTTATTTCGAATGATTTGATCATTCTACAAATATTCAAAGACAATGTTGTAAAACAAAATTATTTACATAAGATAAATTAATTAACCTTTATTATTTTATTAAAATTGGGAACTGTCTACTAGTAAACATCTCATCATTTTGAACGGTGGATAATTTTTTGCGGTTCGTCTTGTTTTTTTCTACTGTCTTTCACTTGTCGTCTCATGTATACTACCTATCCTGAATTTTCAGCTGAAAACAATATTCTTTGATCGAAATAACGAATTTCGAAAAGGTACTTATTTGTAGAGTTTGTTAGTTTCGAAATTCTTGAACTCAATCTAACCGCACCGTGACTCTTGCAATGAAGTTTCATAATCGGAATCGGATAGTCGTCCAAAAGGTATTAGATTTTTTTTGTATCCGATGACTAGCATTTCCTATACATTTTTTCAAATGACTAGAGCTTGTTGGCTCCAAAGTTTTTGGACCTGAACTTGACAGACAGGAGACAAAAATCGGGTTTGCTTGAAACAACGGTATCTTGGCAACGGAAAATTGTTTTCGGTTGAGAATTTTAAGATAGTCTACGGATCATTTGACGTGTATATGGACACGGTGCCAAGTTGGATTTCTTTTTATTAGACCCTTAATTATGTGTCCAATGCTAGATCGAAAGCGCATTAAAACGATTTTCACTCAGTCTCATAGATTGATGATGACAAGTAGTTCTCTCGTAAGACTAATGTAAACTCAGATATCCTAAAAACTTTTGTTTTCATTCTACAGCAAATCATGCGTTGACTCTCTAAACTGAACACTTCCGTATAGTAGGTATTTTTTAACGATCTATAATGAGATAGGTGTACTATGATAATGAAAAGCTTGGCATTATTAAAAATAACAAGATTTATTGTTTTATTTTTAGTTTGATCAAATGATGAAAATTGTTGAAGTACTCGGTATACCACCAGCTCATATACTTGAACAAGGAACAAAAACTAAACGTTTTTTTGATCGTCTACCTGATAATACATGGATACCACGGAAGAGTAAAGACAGAAGGGTAAATATTTATTAGAACGAAAGAGTCATTTAGTTTCTAACGGATAATCGGAAAGTTTCTAGAGAAAATGCTTATTCACTTTTGATCCGCTAGGAACTATCAAAAGCTATGAATTAGGACGCTCTACTCGCATAGCAACTTACAAATGTTGTTCGAGAGTAATGAAATAATCTTTGACAAGTCCAAAAAATTAGTTTAAACAGAAAATTTTTGTATTTTTACTGTTATGATACGAAACTTAAAGTCAGGATCTTAATTTATAGATTAAAAACTATTCTACAATATGTACTATTTCAATTTTGTTCTACAAAACGATCGATTTCGACAATTTTGTAATATATTCGAAAAGGATTCTATAGAATAAACAAAAGCCTGTTGACTCACCATTAAACATATCTTTTGATACTTTCAAGCGGATAAAAATTGAACAAACAGCTTGTCTAAAAAACTTCCAATCACTCGTTATTGAAATATTTATTTGAAACATTGTTTGTTTGTTTGTTTTTCATTAGTATCGATCACCTGGTACACGTAAATTACATGATATTCTTGGTGTTGATATTGGTGGTCCAGGTGGACGTCGGGCTGGTGAGCCAAATCATTCCGTATCAGATTATATAAAATTTAAAGAACTTGTTCAACAAATGCTTGAATACGATCCAAAACGGCGTATATTACCATTTAATGCATTACAATCGAATTTTTTCAAACGAGTTCCTGATGAAACATCAAATGTTAATCATCCAACAACAACAGCAACAAATAATAATAATAATAATAATCCATTGTCAAATCTTAATTCGAATAGTTCACCTAATCTTGATCCCAGTAAGTGTAAAAAAGATAAAATTATTTTCACTTTCGATCTTATTTAATTTAAATAAAAACAAGCATAGTAAATACGAGTTAATCTTTGTTTATAGACCAGCAGCAAGTAAAAAATCCAGGACGAAAAAATATGATTATTACTAACAATACATTTTTTAATAGTCATAAATGAGCGACTTGTTTTTTTTTTCTTTTCTTTTCTTTTCTTTTGTCTTCTTCTACATAGAAATAAAAAATAGAGATATACGAAAACAAAACCATCTATATTTCAACAAAAACAAAATGCTTTATATAATCAAATTTTTAAAAACTATTTGCTCGCTATGGGAGAGTCCATAATGCTTCTTATAATTTAACTTTAATCTCAAGGCTACAAAAAAAAAACGAAAAAAAAACAAAAAACTAATCTAATGATAACATTTTCTATTTCATAGGCCTTCGTTATCGTCATTTAATTGAAACAGTACAACCACCAAATCTATGGCAACCAACAGATTCATTTATGCCTGGAATTCCAAGACCATATCCTGCTCAACAAACAGCAAATACTAATAGTTCTATTTATTTAACAAATAGTTACCCAACTGATTCAATAGATCTTGCTGCACCAACAGAATTTCAATCAACGAACAGCTATTATCCATCTCAGAGAACTCATACATCACCGTCCGGAACAACATTTCCACCATTATTTACATATGTTCCACAAAATTTTAATCATCATTTATCATCAACTATTGACGATAATTCTTTACTTATACAAAATCCTAGTTTGACTTGATTTTTCTAAACGTATATATACACACACATACATACACTCACATCTTATTCAATCTTTATGTTTGTTCCTTTTAATTTATTGTTCTTTCTATTGCGTTACTCTCGCAATGATCTTTTTGGTTTTCTTTTCTTTTTGTTTCTAAAATAAAAGAACATGACGATGTCTTTGTAAATAATATATCATCTGTTTTTTTTTGAGAAAAGTTTCTTCCGAATAGAAAACACAAAAAATAAATATAACATGAAACGTGTGTGTGTATAGTTTAGAATTATGAAACAATTGAAATGTTAGAGGGGTGGATACTAACTAATTGTGTGCGTTTTTATTTTCTTTTTTTCTGCTTTCTTTCTTTCTTTCTTTCTTTCTTTCTTTATCTCACTCACATGTTTGTATAGTTTTGTATGACGCTTTCGAAGTGTGTGTATAAAACAAAAGAATTTTGAATACAAGCAAACGAACAACAATAATTAAAAAAAGAAAATAATAATAAAGAAAATTGTCGAAAAAAAAATCATAAATCAAAAATTTTAGCATTTTGTCTTTCTCATATTCTATTGTTGAAGATGGATAAGAAATAATAATGCTTATATTAGTTATATTTCTCAGTTATCTTCTTGGATGTGCATCAACAATTGCTGTATGCATATGTTTATTTATACTTTATGGAATTTATTCACCAGGAACAATTTTTGCAGAAGAACAATACCCAACAGTTCGTCCATTATCTCAAGTAAGCTTACATTTCTTAATATATTCGTCATATTTAGTATTTATTAATCTTAGTATTTTGAAGCAAAAAATTCAACAGTTGATGCTGTAAATTATATATTAAATTGTTTATTTCAAGAACTAAAAGATACATCAAAATTAAGACGATATATTATGCAGAAATTACATATCGAATTTGATGAATTAAAACAAACTCGATTAGGAAAAATATTTCTTCGAGATATTGCAGTATATACTAACATAAATAATTATTTTCAAAATTGTCTATACTATTTATAGATACGAAGTTTTTCTATGGGACACGAATGTCTAATATTCAGTAATATTCGTTTTGAACGACAAGTACGAGATGAACGTCAATTAATTAAAGTATAAAATTTGTTATTCTTAATATCCTTAATTAGATTTTCAAATAAATTTTTTAGGAAGTTGTAGCTAAACTTAATGGTGATTATCAAGATGGATTTTCTTGTACACTTGATATTACACTTGCATTTGGTCATCAATGTCAATTATATATAAAAGTTAATCGTATTCAAGGAGAGTTACGTTTAGAATTTCGACGTGAACCATTTTCGCATTGGTTATATGCTTTTCAAGATGAACCATTAATTGATTTAGACGTTAGAGCTTATTTATATTCTCACGAAATTCCACTATTAGCAAAAATCATACGTGGACGTATTATTCATACAATACGACGTAAAAATATATGGCCAAGTTATAAAATTCGTTATCCACCATTCTTTTCGAAATCAAAACAATCCTTACCAATTGAAATTCCATCTGTGAATGATAATAATAATTTTATACCTGGTATAATTGAAATTCTAATCAAGTCTTGCGATCGTCTTTCAATTCCTTTTGAAATATTCAATAAAGAAAATTATTCATTAGTATCGATTTTTTTAACAATTAATATTAATGAACAAATGTGTAAGGATTATTTACATATTAATCGTGATCAATGGATAAGAAAACATATCGAATTTATACCACAAATACATAAAATAAATATAATAGAAGTTCCGTATATGGATCGTACAGAATTTTTAATTGAAGAATTTAATCCAATACCGGATGAAATTGAAGATATAACAATATTTAAAGCAGCATTAGAAGATAAAAATGTTTTTCTACTTCAAATTCAAGATCAAGAAATAAGAACGTTAAAGCAAATAAATCGTTTATTAAAGTCAAAATCAACTAATGGACATCAACAAAAAGTCAAAATCGTTGTTGGAATGCCTTTATTGAATAGTGTTCAAGTACGACGTGTAGTTGAAATAGAAGATACTTATACAATAGAAAAAGCGGTAGGAAAGAATTCCCACAGATTTTGGTGGCCTGTCTCGAAACAGAATATCTTGTTTTGTAGATTAATGTATGACACATCGAATGATATATAAGAAATCAAGTTGATTGATTCTTCAGCTAGACTCATGCACATTTTATTTTTAAACTGGATCCAATACCGTTATAGATACTCTCTTCAATAATTTTCATCGTTTTTTCAGGCTTCAAAGTGACTCACTTTCTTAAATTTAGGTCTTTTCTTGAGTATATGATATTCCATTATACTCATCTCTGTACCACAGAAAAAGTGAATACCAATGTGAAACTTTATGAAAATTGCACATTATCGAGCTCTGTATATGTTTCACAGATAATACCTTTCAGAGCAACTGGGACTTATTTTTAATTTACAAGATTGTCCACTGGACTAGCTTATTTTTCTATATGAAGGAATCATTATATTGATGATGTTTTAACTATATTCAATGGTCCTATTAAAATTTTGTATGTACCGATAATTAGTGTAACATGTCTGATGAACTGAATAAATAACTCTGTGATGAATGGAAAAAAGCTTTCTGAGTCTCAGAACCTCTTGAGAGGGTACGAGAATGGAAAAAATTATTTTTGAAATGAACATAAGATATTTCTAGACTCTTCTAGAGTTACATGCATAAATCAAACCTGGATACGTGGAATCAAAATCTAAGGGAGAAGTAACAACCTCTTTTTTGTAATAATAATCTCATTCCCCTCCTCTAGAAATATGAAAGCCAAAATATGTTTTTCCGTTCTATTTATATCAGTTCATCAGGAATGCTGGACTTCTTATTGGTATATACAAATTTTTAATACAACTGTTGAATATTGGTAAGATATCGTCCATATACCAACTCCTTTATATAAAAACATAGACTATTCTAAGGACCAATCTTCAAAATTGACAATGAGTACCTGGTGCCCTACATGGTGTTATCTTTGAAATGTATAGAGCTCGATAATGAACAAGTTTTGAGAAAGTTTCATCTCAGTACTTATTTGTTTTATGACACAGAGTTTATCTTAAGGACTACAATGTCTATGAGTACTTTATATATATTTTTCGATAATTATTACCAATATAAGGACCGTGAGTGCATCAATATACGAGGAAAGCTTGGTTTCTTAAATATCATTCGCTGCGTTGCTAGTTGCTCTATAAAATTCGAGATCATGGTTCAAGATAGGTTATAAGGTCCTGCGAGATTCTTAAATTATCTGTTTGAATAAAAACTGAAAATCTAGGACGAGCAATCACGAATGGCAAAACGACAACGAACAAAAGGTTCGCAACAGAATTTTTTAAAATTATTTGTCATTCATTTTTTTTGTTTTCTTTTTTAATAACAGCTTATCAATCAACTAATTCAAGTAGCAATCAATCCAATAATTGTATTCAAAAACAGAATTCAAACACAACAAAAACAATGAAGCAAGAAGTAAATGAAAACAAAAATTGATATATTTGTTTTAATTCTTTTTTATTCGGTTCAAAGAAAGATTCTTCGTCAAATAATATCACTTTAATCATGTTGAATGCTGATTATTTGCCGGAATTTCGAATTCACACAGGAGCTCGAAAAGCAGAACCGGTTTGTTATTTTATCAAAGAAGAAAAAGAAAATAATTTCATCTTCATATTTTTCCTTATTTTGCACTATAGTATGTTGAATTCGATAATAAATTCAAATTTAAAATAGGTCCAAATGTACAATATCTTAATATCTGCTTATGGTGTAACCCACCACTCAATTGTGACATACCACATGCTCGCAAAAAGTTTATTTTACTCGGTTATGTAAGTATTAATACAGTTAAACATGAATGATAGACAGAAAGTATCTGACTGTGTTACCAAAGATTATATATTAATGATTACTTTATATAATAAAAGGGAAATAAGAGCTTGAGTTCATGTCGTAATAAAAATGTTTCTTTTAATTGTTGCTAAATAAAAATGTGAAAAGCTAAGTAAAGAGTTTAATTCTTCAAGGACCATTGCTTGCCTGTGATAGCTCTAGATTTCTAAATTTTGATGATGATGGTTATCATTGAATGCTGATCGTTCAACAAGTTAAAACTTCTTTTTAATAATTCATAAGATATAAGCGTTCGATTACATTTGCTGTAAAATGCTAATAAATCATGATCCAAGAGATATGAAGACTATTTTTTTTGATCAAACCGTAACTCTGACTCTTCTCTATCTAGAATATGAATTCAAAATATTAGCTTTTAATTATTTCTGAAATGCATTTGTTTTATAATCGAAGGTTAATTTTGAAGTTTGAGATATTTGTCCGAAAAAATTCATAAGTCAGCCGAAGAATACTACTTTCACTTAAAAATTGCACAAGATATGTTAAGATATATTTTAGTTATTCGCACAAAGTTTAAGGATAAACTAGGATATAGTTCGAAATATTCATTGCATATTAACTATTCATTGTTAAAAAATACATGGATAGATAAGGATGAACTGAAATTTGTCCACTCTATTATATCTTCTCTAGTTAGTGTTCATCATAATCATATGAAAATCTAACAAAGAAAATATCCATAAGCGAAGCAATGTCAAGAAGACTTCACATTCTCCCGAACTTCAAGTTATTTCATTTATTTTGCGCTTTTTAGTCCATATATACTTGCAAGGAAAGCTAATACACATATTTGAAATCAACTGACAAAACTGCATTTTTTATATCTCAATATCTTTTTGTATTTTGGGAATCAATCAAAGAAAACAAAACGTAAAGCATTTTTTATGCTAGCATTCAAACTATGAAGTAATATCTATTGAAGTCTGTGAACTATTATTTCTCGAGGTATAAAAAGAAATACTAATTGTAATGTGTCTCATAAGGGAAGTTTTCAACTAATAAATTGCTTTTGAATCGAGACTACATCTTATATAGATTCAAATCAGCTATGAATACCATGAAAAGAGTTTGTGTCTTTAGCTTGTTGCTGTGAATATACTGCGAATTTATGGTAGTTTTAAATGAATACCATAGGCCCTCTCAGGAAAGCTAGTTTTCGAACTTCGACTTGAAACTATGCATAGAAACGAGTCTTACAGAGAACAGATTATTGTGAAAGTGTCAAGTCTATTGATAGCTTCTATATTGAAATAAGAATATCAAGAGAAGAACAAAGAGACTTCAGTACTATGGCGTACGGTACTTTACTCGTACCTCGAATAACTAAGGTCTTAATTTTAGGTAACATAGCTGTATTTTAGGATAGAAACAACGAAAAGATCTGAAACTTTGACAGGAAGCTGTTCTTACTTAAGTCTGTCTCTATACAAAATTAAAAGTGCAGTATCTTCGTAGTAATAAGCTAAGGATACAATCTCTTTTCACGATATTCAAAACTCGTTTGGGTTGACATAATAAACATAATCTCGACTCAAAAGTGATTTATCAGTTGATACACTTTCCTCGTCAGTTTATGTAAAACGAATGTGAATATCATGTATCTAAACTTATATCTTCTTCACACGTCGTGATTGATCTACATTTCTCAAATCATTGTTGACGAAAAAAATGAAGCTATGATAAGCATAGATTTTAATTTATATTTGTTTTTAGGCTACAGTTGCTCTTTCTGAACTTATATTTGATGCTCATATGAGTTTTAAACGTGAAACTGAAACGACACTGAATTTTCGACCTACTTATTCTTCAAAATCTAATTTGTAAGATTAATTCTAAATTTTAATTTATTAATAAAGAACATATTTTTTTACGTGTAGAAAACTTATTCAAACAAATTCCAAAAGGTATTTTATTGAATTAAGTCGAATAATTATATTTTTTTTTTAAATTTCATTATAGTCAAAAACTAGCTGAATTAAGGACACATAGAGGTTATGATGATAATATGGCTCATGGGTTTGTTACAATTAATTTTCAGCACCAACCAGAAATTGAAACGAAATTAAATCAAGAAGACAAAAAAGAATTTATAACTGAAAAAGATGATAATCAAAATAAAGAACAATCAATGTCTACTAATGAAGAACATAAATTGCCTTTATCGAAGTAAGGAAAAAATCATTTAAAAAGGAACTATTTATTGTAATTTTTTTCCATTTAGTTCTACTAATCATTCATTTGAAGATCATGCATTTAGTATCGAAACATTATGTGCTTATTGTAATAAAAAAATTTGGACAAAAACTGGTCGTCAATGTCGAAATTGTTCAATGACAATACATAAAAAATGTGAAGATAAACTAAATCATCAACGTACTTGTACACATGAATCTATTCATTTAAAATCTAAAGAATCTGAAGATAATCATTCAACTATATCCACTAATGATGTTGATTCAAGTTCAAATACGAATCAAACAACAATAACATCTCATTCTTCATCAACTATAGGAACTTCTACTGCTGCATTTTCTATATTTGATTTAACGTCAAATAGACTGTTTCATACATTAATGAATAAAAATGTTAATTTAATACCAACATTAAATTTATCAAATGATCAATTGGATCATAAATCATCATCTTATACAGAAAAACAACTTATAAAAAATCTTCCAATTTCAACATCTTCAAAATTCATTAATGCTGCTTCATTAGCTTATAGTAAATTACTTGAATTTAAAATAAAACGAATACCTCTTTCGTTAACATGGGAAACAAAAAAGAAACGATCACTATCTGATTCGAGTACTAATATTTTTATAGTTTATTTTATTAGAAATTCAATTATTATTATTTTTTTCTTAGTTACATATGAAAATATTTCGGAAGATGACCTGCAAGATATTATAACAGTATATTAAAAAGAAATGTTTACTCTAAAAAGAAAATCATATTTTTCGTTTTCAGAAATGCTTGTCAGATGACACAATTGATATAAAAAGTTTCGAAAATTTACTTCATGAAAAAGCTGTTGATCATACAGTACTTTATGCAAAAGCTAATGAATTCGGATCCGAATTATTTCCAGATTTAACAATTGAAGAACGAAAACATAAATTTGAGACTGAAGTTAGTTTATTAATAATCTATCATAGTTTAGATTTGAAGTTGTTTTCTTTTATCTTTAATCTTATTCAGATTTCTCGATTACAACAAGAAATTGATTTACAAGATCGAATACGTGATGAAATGATTATTGAATATAATAGTGATCTAACGGATGAAAATGCTAAAAGAAAAATTCAAGCAAAAATTACTAATGTTGATGAAAAAGTACAAGCACTTGGTAAGTTATTAGTATTAGATTATTGAAGAAAGAGTAAATTTTCACTCTTTATAGCTGCATTGACAATTCTTTATTGTTCCGGTAAATATATTAGTATTTTTTTTTTCAAAAAAATTTTTAAAAACTATTGTTTAAGGTCTTAGATATTGTTATTCTCAATTGTAAATAAAAATGTGATAACTCTACGGTGCATAGTAAAATACAAATGTGTTTACTTAAAACAATCAATTATATGATATGGATAATGTACAATGATAATATCAATTTAATTTTTACCGTCAATATTATTGAACATTTGCTCAAACGAACAAGATAAAACTTTATAATGTGCAATGTGATCCATTTAATGTAATAAGCGACAACGTTATTTTGTATTTAATATAATCCAAATTTAGTTTTTTTCTTCTATTTATAGTTTTTTTTTTTTTGTAATAGTTTAATCTGGACTTATTAATGTGTAATTTGCATTTTATTTTTTCATTTATTTATATCACTGAGATAATCAATCTAGTTTTTACTAAGTACTCATTGTTTTTTACTTTTCAATTGACCTCGTATGTTTAATCATGATAATCAAAATTTCGTTTTTTTAATATAATTGATGATGCATTTTGTTAAGCAGTTTATAAATATTTTAAACGTGAAGTCATTTCTAAACATAGTGATAAAAATTAATAATTTGCTCAATAACCTGTGTTTTTTTCTGTAGATGACTGATATACAAGAAGAAATTCTACCATCCGAAGAAACTGATGCTCAAGTTGAACAAGCTCGAAAACAAATTCATGATTGGCTTAATAAACCAATGCGTGTTTCAATAATCGATGGCCGTGTCCTTGTTGGTGTATTACTTTGTACGGATCGTGATCAAAATCTTATCCTAGGTAATTGTAATGAATATATTGGTTCACCAAGTGAACAAGAAGAATTTCGTGTACTTGGTCTTGCACTTATACCTGGTCAACATATTCAATCAATTTATATTGATGAAAATTCTTCATCAATGTCATATCATTCAAATCCATCACATATATCAATAACAAAAACAAATGATCATATTTTAGATGATGACAAAAGTGATTGTTAGAGGTTTTTTTGTTTTAATCGACCTTTTTTTTGTCTTTGTATGTATTTGATATGTTTTCCTTTCTTTTGTTTTTCTTTTTTATGCTTCAGATGTCTTGTCAAAAAGGTAATACTAGTAGAAAACGTAAACAAAAATATCAAAATGCAACAACATTTAAAAATAATCTATATGATACAAGTAAATTAACAAAAGAAATTAATTCAATTGAACATAAAGGTTTATGTGAACATTGTAAACAAATATTGGAATGGAAAATACATTTTAGAAAATATAAACCATTAACACAACCAAAAAAATGGTAAAAATTAATTGAATTTGCAGAAACACGACTTAAAAAAGAATGTTGAAGTGTATAGGGTGGAACTTTGGAACCACTCTTCTTCTTCTTCTCATAGACCATGATAGACATCTGCGGAAATAGTCACAGGAAAGAAGAATACTCTTGCCTTTCAGTTGTCTTGCGGTACAGAGTATTGTCTAGCGACAGATTCATTCACCTGGCATCTTTCATACAGCTAATAATAATTATAGCTTTGGACAGAAGGTTGGTCTGACGTAGAATTTTTGCGCTCAATGGCTTAAGCTCCCCATGCACACTAACTAATTACACACTAGTCATGAGGGCAGGTTTATGCAACAATTTAGTCAGCATACTAGCTACCGGTTAATTCGAGACAAACAGTCCATAGTGATTTATCCAAGGTCATTCCATAGATGTTGATACTGAAGTTTGGAAATATTATCCATTCGATACGTTACTCGGAACATACCCCTTTAGTTATGTCGACTGAACATCAACACAGACCAAGTAAAACGTTATCAGTATACGATTACAAACTGTGTATCAATAACGGCTCTTTACAATATATTAACTATTTCCTGATTGCATTTCTAAAGAGATGAGTAAAAAGATGCTGAGGTCATATTTCTTAAAAAAGATAGAAAAAAGTGCTCTCCCTGTGATTAACAAGAGTGCCTACATCATGTTTCGCATTTTTATCCCACAGAAACTGCGCTAACAGCTTTTTTTTTTATTGAATGCTGCATGTTTTGTTCGATTTTAGTGTTCGTTGTCAACAAAAAAATGTTATTCGTGCTTATTATATCATTTGTGATAATTGTGGTACTAACGATAATCTTTGTTGTAAATGTGGCCAAAGTCAAGACACACCTATTGAGTAAAATAAGAATTTTATTAAATAAACATTCGATAATATTCTTTATTTAAGACGACCTGTTCCTGCTGTTGAAGAAGACCGTGAACAAGCTGAATTCGAAACTGATATTAAACTACTTCGAGAGAGACAACGGCGTATGTTTATTTCAATATTTCAATAAAAAAAGAAAGAAAAGAACGATTCTCATTTTTCTTTGTCTAGGTAAATTCTATCGATTAATGAAACAAGGAATGTCTGGTGAAGAAGCTCTTGCAAAACTTAATGTTTCTTCGAATAAACAATCGAACAATTGTGACGATCATGATGATGATGATGATGATGATGACGACGATGATGAGAATTATGTTGATGACGATTCCGATATTGATGAAGATGATTTGACTTGACATACAAAAGAAAAAAAACATATACACATTGTTGTTGTTTTTGTTACGAAATAAAAAGGTCATCAAATAAAGAATTAAAATATTGTATGAATATAGACCAAAGTGAATGAATAAGTAATGAAGGTTCTTTTTCACGTAACAATGGTAAATAATCAAGTATTATTTGGACATTTTCTTCTTGATATTGATAAAGACAATCGAGTGTTAATGAACAGTGTGATTTTATTGCTATAGTAGAATCTAATTGTTGTTTATATATTCTAACACCGTATGATAATTGTTGAATAGCATGTTCATGTGTATCAATGATTGTTTGAGTTAAATTTGTTTTTGATGAACGATGATATTGTAAAAAATTCATTTGAAATTGAATTAGATAAATTAAATGATAAAGATATAATGATGATTTTGGTAAAATATAAATTGAAAAATTTTTTAAATCTAAATAAGTCATTTTAATGGATATTAAATTCATTATTGTCATTGAAATATTTTCATTATATAGATTATAATTAGAATTAAAATAATGAGGAATCGATTTTGTTTCAAGACGATTTAAAAGATAATCAATAAAATGGTGTACATGACTAAATAAATCACTGGTTATAAATGAATCAGAAGTGTATTGTTCGAGGAAATAGAAGAGTGTATGTTTAAAAATTACAAATGGACATTGTCCTTGTGTTTTACCATTTAAATATTTCCATAAAATCGATGCAAAACGTAAATGTCCATCAGACATTGTATGTACAAGTTGTGCTTCTATCGCTGAATATGTATAAGACCAAGATGCATTTGATGATGATAAAAGTATTTTTTCACAAGTTAAACATTTATCATTTGTAGATATTTCTTGTTCATTACCTTTAAATCGAATAAAACATGTATTATTAAATAAATTTTCAATATTCAATGGCCAAAGACGTTTTCGTTGCTCATAAACCGAACGTATTTCTTGTGGCCATGATTGAATATGTAAAACAAAATAAAATGATGTATGATTAACATCAAGATCATATGAATAATTTAATTTTGAGCTATTAATAATTGTTTGTCGAATTAAGTTTGCATGTTTTTGTGAAATGTATCCAAATATATTATTATTATTTATCTTATTAAAACACATTTGTACTAAATTATATGTTGCATTAACCAATAAAAATGGATGTAAACGATTATTAAGTTTCGAACCAGACAGCAATAATGAACAATGATCACAAGATGATAATGTACATGGTACATCCTTCGTATTATATGTTATTGATTTAAGTTCATTCCAATGCATATATTTTGTTATATAAACAAGTTTTTTATCTTCATCAAAGATTAATGATGGTGCATCGAGGTTTTTTAAATCTCTAGAAAATAGAATTAAAATGTATTATCATTAAGAAGGAAGACTTGCTTACTTCAAATTTATACAATCTAATTGTTTATGTTCAATTAACACAGTTTTTGTTCGTCGATGAATTCGAATAAATTCTTGTTGTACAACATCATCAATAACATAACTAAGTGTTTTACAATTATGAGAAATAGTATTTTTATGAAATTCATTTAGAAATAAATCATTCTTGCAACGAGGAAATGATACAGGTAATACAGTTGAAAATATTTCATTTGTAGATTGATTATCAAAATAACTTTGTTCATTGTAAGGTGAAAACTGAAATCTATTATGATTTGTTAATTGATATGATGATAGAATAGGATTAAGTTCAGTTGATGAGCAAGATGATGAAAGAATAAGTTGATCTTGAGAAGAAAATGATGTTGTATTAGAAGAAAATGACGAAAGTGAAGAATCGGAAAGTGTTGGCGAAGGAGATGTACCAACGGATTCTTAAATAATCACATAAATAAACAAATAACCTTAATTCACAAAAAAAAAGTTATTTGATTTACCTGATATTATTTCTTGAGTAAAGATCAAAACTTCCTTATTGTCACAGATTTCTTTTTCTTTACTAAATAAATGTCCCATGTTTGTGTCTTGTTCATTTTTTATCAATGTAATTGGATGTGCTACATTATTCTCACTAAAATCTGTCACATTATTGTTTGATTTAAATTTTTTACATTGAATGGATAATTGAACAGGCGATAATGTTGATGATGAATGTGAAAATAAAAATTGATCATTTGTTATCGTTGCTAAAGATGACGAATATTGAATGATGTTTTTTTCACTTTCATCTTTATTATTGAATAAAATATCTGATTCTTTTACATCGGATAAAGAAGAAAGATGATCAGTAGTTCGCTCCGATGTTGAAGATGGCAGAGTTGGTGTTAAATTTAATTGATTATTACAATGTAACTTGCTAGTAGAAACTGTTGAAGAAGTATGTCTACGGTGTTTATTGTGTGCATCAGATTTTTTACCAATACAATTACCCATTGTAGAAATGTTTTCAACTAACTAAAAAAAAAGCAGTAGAGAGAATGAAATATAAAGTCTTAACAATATATCAATTGTCAAATTCGAAACCATACTATGTCACAGAAGTGAAATTCATATCGATGTATATATATATATAAGCTTTCGAGTGTGTCTCGTACATGTATATATGAAAATTATGGTTTCTTTCTCTTTCTCTTTTATTTGAACTAACAATAGTACAGTGCGTGCTTATTCATTGTCCTTCATCTTCTTACCTATCACTATTCGAATAAAACTTATTGTTATTGTTTTAGAGGTGAAATATTCATCAAGTAGAGACAAGAATGATTATTCATGCACATTCATATAAATGAGCGTTGTGTTCTCTCTTCTATCTCCCGTTCCCTCTTATATTTGTCATCAAAACGTCATAGGAGATGTCCGAGATGATTCGATTAGAGACAAATAAATTGTCATAGCAGTAATGTATTGATAACCTTCGGTCAACAAGAAACAAAGAAAAGCTTTTTATTCCTAATACCGTATTATTTATATTATTTTGTTATGACAGATGAAAATATAAGAATACGAGGCTATACGGATATATATATATGGATAGAAATAATAGAAAACTAATTTAGTTATATTCATGTATAAAAAGAAATGTAGCAATCAATATCATTACATATTAAACAGTAAGATTTTTTTTAATATACTGAATAAAGAAATTTTCATTAGATATATATATTGTTTCATAGAGAAACAAATCGATTGGTCAAAAGGTTTTTTTATGATAAAAAATGATTATTACATCAAAGAAGCACAAATAAACTTAGGAGCATACATACTGTGCAAACATTGCATGTAGCTCGAAGTGATTCTTATAAGTAAATTCTGAGTACAAACACTTGTTGTCCTTACTTCTTTTCTTTTCTTATGTCACAATTGGTCCTAAGATCAAGAATATGTAGCACCTGCTCATTGATATTCAAAAAAAAAGAAAGAAAAAAGAAATTTAACTCCATAAAAATGTGCCTAGAAGCAGACTGTTAACCATGAATCATAATAAAATGAAATGTTTTTTGATTGAAATAGTAAAAGACAATTAAATATTGCAATATATATATGATTTCGTACTCATGTTTTATAAAATAGAAGAAAAAGAAAGAGGAAAAAAAATGTGACAAAATGAAACAATTTAGTTACCGCAGACAACTATCAATCTATATGAACTGACCTCGAGATAATGTAACGACATTCATATCAATACTTCTTTTCATTTCTGTTGAAGGCGGTTCTCCTCCTTTCTTTTTTCTCTTCATTTAAAGCATCTGTCAACAGGCTTTAATCATTTTCTTTTTATTTTTTGACACAAGTCCCTATTTCAATATTCATCCACCACCAAATATCAAAAGCCTGATTCTTGCGGTGTCATGTCATTATTTGTTTCATACTTAAATACTACTCTTTGAAATGCATGTATGCATATATAATATGGGACTCTTGTTTCTACATACTTACTACCAATTCGTCCTAGAGATAAGGTTTGATCATTACATATTTATTTATGATATGATGATGCTATACATATGAGAAACGAGAAAGCAAGACAAACCTTGTACAATGGCTAATGGCATCGAAGAAATTACATCAATCGTCGTTACATACTGAACCTGTATGTGTCTGTCAGTTTTGGATGAGTTGAAAAGATCATGTCAACATGTACCATTTGGTCAACCATACGAAAAATTAATAATGATTATACAATGTATATTGAAGATGTTTACATATACATTCATAGAATGTATATGTCCTATATATGCATGAATAACGAACTACATTCACCTGGTCACTCTCTTTTATTTTTATGCAAACTCATAAAAAGAAATAAAAAGAAATTATTACATCATCATTGACTTCATTCTATTACTGTACAAAAGCAAAAGTTATATAGAGACAAACAGACAGACAGACAGATAAAATAAATTAAAATAGGAATTCAAGCTGTTACTTTTTGTCATATTGCTAAATAAAACCAAATCGTTAGTTAGTGTACTAAATCCTAAGAACAACTGGTACGAAACGATAGACATTTTCTTAAGTAATTAAGAATAACATTACGACAAAAAAAAAGAAAAAGAAAAGTCATAACTTTGATGTAATTATATGACTTACTTATTTGTCATAACACAATGAATATACTGAGATTTTAACAAGAAGAAAAAAAGAATAGTTTTGCTTGGTCTTTATCATTTGTATGATAGACTTGAATGGATTAATAGGTGTGTGATGACAATCGTGATCAAAAGACTATATGTAATTGTTACTAGATAGTTGTGATATATGACACGGATTTTTTTATCTAATCACATTCATGAAAAGTTCAAAAAGATCGTCTGCCCTCGGTATGACTTTGAAATTGTTTATATGAACGTACATTTATAACATTGAATACTTTTATCAAGGACATTTATCTATGTAAATGATTGTTCTGAACTTCGTAGAACTGAAATAGAATGAAATCAAGCGCTGTTTCTTCATATAAAAAGATGATGTTCAAATTAAACGGAAAGATTTTTAGATGAAAGCAAGAATTCTAAATGACAATAGTATTCAAACAAGAATGTTGATATCACTGCGTCTTATTCGTACATTTTTGACATTGGCAATCAAGTTATTAAGTAGTCTGTCAAATATATGTACAATAATTTTTGTTGAATAGAAAGAAAAGAGCAAATACAAAAGAGAGAATCGATTAAGAAAGTAGATGACAATGCCAACAGCAGTAGATCAAAAAAATCAATTCTGGATGACTTCCATTTTTTAATTCTGTTAGATTTAATATATTCTGGGTGGAAAACAATATGAGATATATTGATGAATTTTTAAACAACCTTGGATTGGATTATGAATAAATTGAATTAAAATAATTGTTATTAGTGGCGTAACCGGAAGATCGTGGTTGATTGAGTAATGCTCTACAATCTCGGAGAAAATTCAAGTAAAATAGTGTTAATGATGCTAATTATTATATTTATCTTTTCTGATGATCATAAGGTGGCGTCCGGTCGAGTCCATTCTTGGTTACGCTACTAATTATTATTAATTATGTTTTACAGAAGTATTTTGAATAGATAAAATTTTGAATTAATATTAAGTGAATGTTTTTTTTTATTAACATTTTCTTATAGATATGAAGTAGTACAATGAGTCTAGAATGTTATTTCAATTTCGTCCAAGTACGTATGTGTTCCCTTTCTTCTATGAATTATAATTTGTATTTATCTAATTGATTATCATTCAGAAAATCCATTAGTTAATGCACATAATTTACATGATCAAACTTAGGTAAGAAGTTTATGTTCTGTTGAACTAGTACGTGAACAATTTATTGATGCTAATGGAAAAAAATCGATTAGCATGATTATGAGTCGATTGTTCGGCGCAATGCTCGAGTCAATACTTTTTATTTATTTATATTTGTTTATTAATTTGCTTTCTTTTAATTAAAATTACGTGAAGGTGACATAGGTGTTGAACCCAGTACTCAAGAACGAAATAATCCAGATTTTCAACGACTCTATCAGAAGAAGAAATTTAATGCTTTTATCAGATAATATTTCACTTGAGTGTTCACCTTGAGATATTCATCGTCCAGAATGCATCATTTTACTTATTATTCCGCAGTACATTTTTACTTTTTATTGTTTTTATTGTTGTAAAAACAAAAATCCTTTTTTGCGTGATGTTAATATTGCTAATCTAACAAAAAGTCGAATAATTCATGTTCAAAAACATGAAGGGCTTATTGATACACGGTTAGTAGGTGCAAATGAAGTAAAAGCTAATTTTTTTAATTTTTTTTTGGTTGACATGTGGAAGTTAATATTAATCAGTTACCAACATTAAGTGAACGTATTGTGAATCATCCACAAAGAGCATCCGAATCCTTGGTAAGAATTTATTCACAAATTCTCATGAAAAGTAACTATAAGTTTTTTCGATAACTTTTCACTACATAAATCCCGTCATGTAGTGAAAACGTTAGAGTCGCTCTTCAGGCGTTGAATAAGTGACAACAAGGTTTCAAGATAAATTCTTCATCGAAATTATATAGTATTTCAATTTTAAATGAATGAAATATATGAACCATAAAAAACGTGTTTTGTTATTCTATCTAATATATGTACCAAGCTTTGAAATCGGACCATTTTTTGTTGGCCCGGCTCGACTCAGAATGGCACTATTAAAAGCATATTTCTTTTACAAAAATAGGATTTCTACATAATAAAATTTCACAATTATTGCATACATCTATTAGAACATTGTAAAAAGTTTAGTATTATAATGATTACAAACTGACTAAGGTCGAACGATATGTATGTTTGCAAAATAGCATGAGAGATGAGATCAATTACTTATTAAAACACAAGACCAACATATGTTCGTAGGTACTTCAACTTTTTGAATGGGTATCATTTATTAACGTAAACTGCTACGAATAAAATGGTCGTTGATTAATTTTAAAGAGCCATATCGGTTTATATTCTTAGTACGAAGTTCATACTGTTCCATCTCAGTCAGATTCATACTATTTAGCGTAGTTGGTAGCGCACTCAAGCTTTTATGTGGATGAGAAATGTCATAGAAAAATTATTTTTCGAATTTACACCTGGCACTTTGCATGGAGACAAGTGTTAATGAGAGTAATTTCAGGCCTTTTGATTTCTTTCTACTCTGAAATACAAGCATGAAATCAGTCAGTTTATATAAGTAGCGTACCCGACGTGCTGTTATCATAGTTGTATCTCTAGGATAGAGATAGCGACAAATTCGGAAACATTCATAATAAATTACTTTCGTCAAAGCCCGTTTCAAGCCAGAATTCGAAAGTCAATTTTTCTAGTATTACCGAGGGAACCATGACATCTAGTTAAAATATACTCTCAAAGTTCACTCTCTCTACAGCAATAAGTTAAGGGCATGAACTTTTTTTCAAGTATTCAAGAGTCATTTAG